GGGCAAACTTGGAAAGTTGTTTCATCTCTGTGTTCAGGTCTTTTAATCTCAAAAACTGACATGACAATAACAGTCCCTACTTCTGCTGGCTTGAATAGTGTCCCTCCAAATTCATATCTACCTGAAACTTCATGTAATATTATTTGGAAATAGGGTCTTTGCAAATATAATTGGTTATATTAAGATGAGCTCATAGTGGAGTTCAGTGAGTCTTAATCCAATAACTGGTATTCTTATAAGAAAACAAACACACAGGAACACCATGTCACAATGGGGGAAAGACCAGAGTGATGCTGCTCTAAGCCACAGATGCCCACCACTACCAGAAGCTGGAAGAGGCAAGGAGGGAGTCTCCCCTACAGATGTAAGATGGAGTATGGCTCTGCCAATTCCTCAATTTTGGACTTCCAGTCTTTAGTCCAGCCTGTGGACTTGAGAACTGAGAGAGAATACATTTCTGTTGCTTTAAGCCACCTGGTCTGTGGTAATTTTGTATAGCAATGACAGGGAGCTAATGCATAGTTTGTGCTGAAGTTTAAATTTGTTAATACATGTAAAGCACTTAGAACAGTCACTGTAGTATGTGTTCAATGCAGTATGTAGTATGTGTTCACTAAAATATAGGCCATTATTATGATGTGCCTGACACTATTTCGTTGCAGTCTCCTGGCTAGTCTCATTTGGTTGGGAAAATGTCCCATTGAACCCGTTGTTGGTAGTTATGTGTGATTAGGTGCTTTGGTAGGTGAAAACAATGTTTGGCAGTGCCCTTATAGAGAAAACCTTTCTGGAGAGATGGCCCATTTCACTGGGTATCACATTCTTTTAAAAGTAGAATCCAAATGACAAGTTTTCATTCTTTTTGATGACTTAGTAATATTCCATGGTATATGTATATGTGTGTGTGTATACGTGTGTGTGTGTGTCTATGTGTGTGTGTATACCACACAAAACTAGAGGGCATTATGCTAAGTGAAATAAATCAGTCAAAGAAAGACAAATACCATATGATTTCACTCATATGTGGAATTTAAGAAACAAAACGGATGAACTAGGGGAGTGAAGGAAAAATAAGATAAAAACAGAGAGGGAGGCCGACCATAAGAGACTTTTAATGATAGAGAACAAACTGAAGCTTGCTAGAGGGGAGGTTGATGGGGGGAATGGGGTACCTGGGTAATGGGCATTAAGAAAGGCACTTGATGGAATGAGCACCGGATGTTATATGCAACTGATGAAATCACTAAATACTACCGTTGAAACTAATAATACACTATATGTTAACTAAATTGAATTTAAATAAAAATAATTTAAATGAAAGAATCAACACCCTTTGTCATCCATTCATTACATATGTGTCCCTTCTTGGGCACAAAAGCTCCTATTCTCTCCTGCCATCACCTAGAGAGCAACTGAATTAGTTTGTGGTACTGCCACAACAAAATAGCACAGGCTGGGTGGCTTAAACAACAAAAATATGTTTTCTTAAGGTTCTAGAGGCTCGAAGTGCAAGATCAAGGTGTTGGCACATTTGGTTTCTCCTGAGGCCTCTCTCCATGGCTTGAAGATGGCAGTCCTCTCACGTGTCCTCACACGATGTTTTGTGCATGTGAATCCTTGGTGTCTCTTTTTGTGTATCCAAATTTCCTCTTATAAGGATACCAATTAGATTGAATTAGGGACTACCCTAAAATGATCTCATTTTTACTTAATCACTCCTGTAAATCTCCTATCTTTAAATACACAACTTGAGGTATTGGGAGTTAGGACTTCAGTGTACAAATTTTAACACACAATTCAGTTTCTAACAGTAGCCTAAGACACATCAAGTTCTAAAGTACAGTCATAGGCTAGAAGCCGGTTGCTCATCTTATGAAGCTCTTATGACCCAGGAAGACCTGGTCAAAGATTTCAAGTCTTTTGCCTGGATTGGCAGGAAGTGGAGTGTGAGATAGGAAGAGGGCCTGGTGTGGTTTCTGGTGGAGCTGTGGGGGGGGCATCAGGACACTATGTGAGAGATAGGACCCTTGTGATTGCCCATTTCCATGAGTGCATGCCTTCTAGACTGTTATTTTCTGGAGGGAAGGGACCGTTTCTATCTAGTTCATCTTTGAATTCCCTGATGCCACATAGTTGGCATATTTGCGGAATGAATGATTCACTTTTGCAGCCTTTTCCCTAAGTGAAAATTACTTTCCATGTAATGAAAGCAAATTCTTTCTGCATCTAGAAACCTTCAACATCCTCCAGTCTTGATCTTAAAGAGGCTTTGTCTCATTTTTTTCTCTTTGGAAATGTTTGATGCTCACAGATGTAGGCACTGTTTATGGAAGGTTTACCGCACTCTAGACACCAGGCTAAAGGCTTCACAAATATTTCAGTTAATCCTTGTGGCAATCCTGTAAGGTGGTTGTTACTTCATTCATTTAATAGGTAAAATATCCACCACTCAGAGAGATGACCTTCCTGTTCTACAACACATAGCTAGCAAGTGACAGCTAGATGGGTTTGGAACCCAGGTCTCTCTGGCTCTAAAACTGGGGCCCTTAACCATCAGGTTTTCTGCTGCACAACCAGCATTACTGCTTCAGATTTGTCAATGCTTGTAGTTTTCCCAGGGATAGCCAGGCCTCCTGACTATTTAGGTCAAGTGATTTGATTTAATTCATAAATGTATTAAGATATATACATTCTTAAGCTAAATAATAGTAACACTTGTTTCATTAAAAACCTTTGCTTAGAACTCATGATTCTAGGGAAGAAAACTCCAAGTAGCACCAAAGTTCATATTCACTTTCTTTCAGCCTTTCGTCTGTGTGTGTGGCGCAGTAGGGGAGGGGGTGGATGGGTGCATGTGGTATTTAGGTCCACACACAAATGAAAATTCACAAAAGGAGACTGGTTTGTATTTCCTTTGTCAACCAGACTTGAACTACAAGGTTTTCCCCTTTTGCCCCCTTTTTTCTTTGGTTTGCTTTTTTTCTTCTTCTTTTCCAACCAGTTTGACTTATTGTCTTAATATTGTGTAGACATAGCCCTGGTGATACCCTAGGATGAGTTTGATGTTCTTCAAGATCTAAACACAATGGGGGTGACTTAAGGACAGAGTTTCAGTTTTGCTTCTGATTCTTCTTGGTTTTGTGGGTTTTACTTAATGTTATTTGAAAGTTTTTTTGTGTGTGTGGTTGAATATATACTATAACTTGTTCTTTTGTGACAACAAGATTTATACTGGCGGTGTCTCTCATACCACTGGAAACTGGAAGGAAATCTACAATGTGAACCTCGGAGAGTTTTAAAAAGACAGCAGCCATTATTTGGTAGTGATGGGTTCAAGCTGCCCTTGAGCCTAGTTACAGGCTTGTGCTCCATCCTGGCTCACCAGTGAGGTCAGTGTGCAAATGTTCTGTCAGATATTTAATACATCACATATGCATTTAGACTACTTCCCTGCCTTCTTCTTAATTAAGGTTTCTTCAGTGAGTAAGACTTCAGGAGAAAGGAAATGATCTGATGGAACTGTATTAAGTACCAATTTACTTCCCAAGTTTCTGAGTTTTTTTCACTTAAATTAACTTGGCCTGAAAGACGAAGGGATTTGAACAGACTATAGAAGCTAGTGTTCCATTTTGTATATCATTTTGGCTCCAGGGAGCTGCTCCTGGTAAAAATGAGCCTGTGAGATGTAGCTGTTTTATGGAAGGGCTAACAATACTAGTCTTTTATAAATTATAAATCCTCTTAACCTCAAACAATTTGGAGCCACCAACTGTAATCTATAAGGTTTCAACTGACAGGGATTTCATTTCTTCTCAGTGCCTTTCAGGCCATTAGGCAAATATTTATATGAAGTTCTCAGCTATTAGGGGATTTAAAATCATTTTGTGTGGGATAGAAATTTCTGGTCTATACCTCCTCAGTTGAATTTTTTGATATGAGTTTTATGTTTTCCCTTTTGTATTTTCTGCAGTTTTGACAACCATTTGATTTAATTTCTTTTAGATATAATTTGTAATAGAAAAAAAACTTTTTTGGGGGAATGAGGAAAATAGTGAGGTAGACAAATTATCATTGCATAATTCTTTCTTTTGGTGGTTTTCTCTGCACTATGTGTTTCTGGTTTTGAAAATAAATAGTAATCAATGATAATTATTACTTGACACTGTAGCAATTAAGGTCCTTTAGCATAAGCAATAGCAAACAACTCTAGAAAACTTGAGCAGAAAAGGAGTTTATTGGGTACTTACAAAACTAAAGAGAGGGCTAGAGGATTCATCTCTGATAAGCAGAGAAATCAGAGCAAGATTGTACGGTCAAGGTCAGGAACTATTGAACAAACCCATCAGGATGTGACTAAGGAGTAAGACAACCAGTGAGCACCAGCTGTTTATTCCCTTCCTCCCTTCCGTGTTTTCACCCAAGCAGACTCACTGCAGTCCTGGGAGACAAGGTCTGATTAGCATAGCTCCATCTTCATCCTTGTCTGGAGAGAGATGGGGCCTGTTTTTTGGGATCCCCAAACCTCTAACAATGCATATAATGGAATCTCTCTGGAAGGAAATAGGGCACTGTTAGGAAAGAAAACAGTGCTGAGCAGCCAAAAACAACATCTACTTATTGCTTAACATCACACGGAGAAATAAGCAAAAAAAAAAAAAAAATTCATTCTCTTCTCAAACCAAGAAATTCAATAAGTCTCTTGGCAAATTAATTTCACCTCAGTAAGAAGAATCTGATCATCTTAGATTCAATTCAATGAAACAATTGTGAAATCCCTTTGGCTTTAAAATGCAGAGAATCCCAGGAACAATACCCTTGATTCAATTCCACACTGTAAGCTGGGCAGTTTAGAAGAATGGCCTGGGTTTTTCTCCAAGCCCTAATGAAAGTTAATGATCAAGAAATGGGCTACGTGCTTTTTTTATGGTTGCTTATTATGAACTATTTAACTTTTACAGCTTTATTAAATGTTTTATGGAAAGGTTTATTTCATGTTACAGCTTTGTAGGATGGCCATGTTTGGTTAAGAAGCATGACAGATGAGCACAGATGTTTTGCAAATATTGCTGGTAAGCATTTTCTGGGTAAAATCATTGTTCATTTTGACATTTTGTGGGGGCTGGGTGGGAGTGTTCTCTTTAATGAAGCCCAGTAGAGCTGGGTGAGATGACGGGAGGGGAGTAGAAAGTGGAAGGAGCATTCCCCACATTTTGATTTTTTAGATTCAAAAAATTAATTAAAATAAAATATGTTATAGAAGTCCATTTTGGCTGAAACTGAACATTTGTGGTAAGAACCCCTCCCCCCACTCAAAATACATCTAGATGGTATTAAACATGCTTTATAAAGCTAAAAATAATATTTTACAGTGTGTTTATTTCACTGTTACAATAAATTCAGGAGGTGGGTAAAAATAATAATTATCATTACCAGGTGTTCTAAGCCTTTTTCTCAGCACTTGACATTCAATATCTCATTTAGTCCTTATAATAAGATACTAGATGAGTACTAATATTGACCCCATTTTATAGATGGGGAAACTAAGACTTCTATAAGTTTCCCAAGCATTTTACTCCAAATTTAATTTATATCTCACTCTGTCACAGAGACTTAAAGCCCTGATAGTTTGATGTGTGTGCTATTCAAGTTATCAATCAATCTTTGAGACATCTTTTTCTTATTTTTCTGCAGACAACAAAAAATATAAAAACTACTGAGGATACACATTCTAAGGCTATAGTCACACTGGCTGACATCTCCAAATTCTTGGTTGCCCTTTGATACCTTTGCTGGGAAGTATGGGCCATAAGTTGAAATTCTCCCTGCAAAGCAAGAATCTAGCTATTTGGAGGGTGCCTGGGTGGCTCAGGTCATGATCTAGGGTCCTGGGATCGAGGCCCACATCAGGCTCTCTGCTCAGTGGGGAGCCTGCTTCCCCCTCTCTTTCTGCCTGCCTCTCTGTCTACTTGTGACTTCTCTCTCTGTCAAATAAATAAATAAAATCTTATAAAAAAAGAATATAGCTATTTGGAAATCAGAGTCTCATCCAAAGAATTCCTAAATACTTGCCTAATTTTTATCAAAAACCCAAATTTTGTTTTTCCCCTCCCAATTTTGTTGATGTTGCAATGAATTCAGCTGAAGTGCTATTTCTTTGTAAAAGCATCTCACATCTACTCCTTAGACAACTTGGCTTTGTGCAACATCTCATATGTTTAGAGTATAACACAACATTTAACCTATCATTAATTGAAAGCCTACTTTGTCTCATAGAATGTGATGGGTACTTTACATATGTTGGAACACTTAATTGTCACCACAACACTAAGTAGTGAGTATTATCATTTTTTTACACATGAGAAAACTGATATTCAGAGAACTTATGAAGCAGATCTGGGTTTCAAACTTAGGTCTCTGCCTCCAGGACTCAATTGCTTTTCCTGTACTCCATGTTGACTTTCTGACAGTGAAAGAAGGACATGCTTCAGGATGTCCAAGGTAAGTAAGCTCATTGGGGAAGTTTTCTAAAGTGTTGTGACATTGAAGTCAGGGAGATATTTTGCAGATAGGTTCCCTAGATTGGGACTATAAAAAGTCTTTTGTTTTATTAATAGGGAAATCTCCCATTTTACATTCTGATTGTACTACATTCTTCTCCCTACTTTGCAAATCCTCCCTTTTCTTTTGCTCAAGCAACAGTCTCAGTCCCAAGGGTGAAGTCCAAAGAATTTACCAGGCACATTTAGGGCCTGAAAGTTGATTTGACTAGTGAAATTTGGCATTTGTGTGTGAGTGCATGTGTATAAGTGTGTTTAGTTACATGGATGTGGGGGAGGGCATGAGCACTAGGAGACATTATCCAAAGGGACATGTGTATGTCCTATATGTCCATATGTGTCTTTCTAGGTAGTGTAAAATCAAAAGGTGTGTGTGTGTGTTTGTGTGTATGTGCATGTTGTATGTGTGTATGTGCATGTTTTATGTGTGTATAAATAAAGTTTGTGTGTATGAGGGATGATTATGCAGCCATGTGCATATTCAATAATGGTTTGTGTGTGTAATCACAGAAATGAACATGTAAATTGGGACAGTACCTGTGCTCAGGTGGCAGGGAAGAAATATCCACATCCAGGGTTTCAAGTTCAATTGAGGAAAATGTATGGATTCATGCAATTCAAAATATATATATACAATGGAGTATTACTGAGCCATCAAAAAGAATGCAGTAACCTCTTCAACATCGGCCACAGCAGCCTCTTTCAAGATATGTCTCCAAAGGCAAAGGAAACAAAAGCAAAATGAACTTTTGGGACTTCATCAAGATCAAAAGCTTCTGCATAGCAAAGGAAACAGTCAATAAAACAAAGAGGCAACCCCCGGAATGGGAGAAGATATTTACAAATGACACTACAGACAAAGGGCTGATATCCAAGATCTATAAAGAACTCCTCAAACTCAACACACATGAAACAGATAATCATGTCAAAAAATGGGCAGAAGACATGAACAGACACTTCGCCAAACAAGACATACAAATGGCTAACAGACACATAAAAAAATGTTCATCATCATTAGCCATCAGGGAGATTCAAATCAAAACCACATTGAGATACTACCTTAGACCAGATAGAATGGCCAAAGTTAACAAGATAGTAAACAAGAATTGTTGGAGAGGATGTGGAGAAAGGGGAACCCTCTTACACTGTTGGTGGGAATGCAAGTTGGTGCAGCCATTTTGGAAAACGGTGTGGAGATTCCTTAAGAAATTAAAAATAGAGCTTCCCTATGATTCTGCAATTTGGGTTAAATATCCAGTATTTAACTGGGTATTTACCACAAAGATACAGATGTAGTGAAAAGAAGGGCCATCTGTACCCCAATGTTCATATAAGCAATGAACACAGTCACCAAACTGTGGAACGAACCAAGATCCCCTTCAACAGAGGAATGGATAAAGAAGATGTGGTCCATATATACACTGGAGTATTATGCCTCCATCAGAAAGAATGAATACCCAACTTCTGTATCAACATGGACAGGACTGAAGGAGATTATGCTGAGTGAAATAAGTCAAGCAGAGAGAGCCAATTATCATATGGTTTCACTTACTTGTGGAGCATAAGGAATAACACAGAGGACATTGGGAGATGGAGAGAAGAAGTGAGTTGGGGGAAATCGTAGGGGGAGAAAAACCATGAGAGACTGTGGACTCTAAGAAACAAACTGAGGGTTTTGGAAGGGGGTTGGAGGATGAAGTGAGCCTGATGGTGGGTATTATGGAGGGCACATATTGCATGGAGCACTGGGTATGGTGCATAAACAATGAATTTTGGAACAATTAAATAAAATAAAAATTTTTTAAAAGTCAAGAAACTACACTGAAACAAAAACAAAACAAAACAAACAAAAAAGAATGAAATCTTGCCATTTGCAATGATGTGGATGGAGTTAGATGGTATTATGTGAAGCAAAATGTCAGTCAGAGAAAGACAAACACCATATGATTTTACTCATATGTGGAATTTAAGAAACAAAACAGACGAACACAGGGGAAGGGAAGGAAAAATAAGATGAAAACAGTGAGGGAGGTTAAAACATAAAAACTTTTAACTATAGGAAACAAACTGAGGGTTGCTGGAGGGGAGGTGGGTAGGGGGGTGGGGTAATTGGGTGATGGGCATTAAGGAGGGCACCTGATGGAATGAGCACCAATGTTATATGCAACTGATGAAATCACTAAATTCTACCCCTGAGACTAATAATACATTATATGTTAATTAATTTGAATTTGAATAAAAAATTAAAACAAATCTGCTAAGAGATGGCCTATTTAAATTTACCCTAGACTAATGATATAGGAAGGAGAAATGTGTCACATACACATCAAGCTACTCTGAATAAAGCATAACTAGGGATATGACATTCATTTTGGTTAGTTCCTGAGGAATCAGTATAAAAGGAACTGAATCATAGGGCATTACTACCACTTTCCCCTAAGCTAATTATTTTTGTCTTTCCTGATTTTTCAGAGTGGGGTAACTCTCTAGTAACTGTGGAGCCTTTCAAATATATCAAGATATTGGTTGACAAGGGTTAGAACAAACAATTAGGAATTTGGCTTGTAACCTACCAACTTTTTAAGAACCTGGGAAGGTCACCTAGTCTTACTGTACTTCAGACTTCTTACCACCTAAACAAGCACTACAGTATTTGTCCAATCTAATTTGCAGGGCTATTTTCCATAACCAATGAAATAATACGAACACTTCTGAATAACGTATATATTGTAAAGCAAATAAATTGTTATTGATTTGGTTGTTGTTTTGGAACCAAGTTATTGAATGTACTTGTTGCTTAGGTTTCTCTGCTAAATGAGATGAGCCCCTAAAAGAATAAGAATAAGAATAGAAGAAGAAGGAGAAGGAAGAAGAGAAAGAGGAGGAGCAGGGGAAGGAGGAGGAAGAAATGAACACCTGACGTAAACACAAATGTTGAAGATGTGAATTTGAGCACTACTTTCATCACTTTTTGGGAGAATGGTTTTGGGGTGTTTCATTTTACCTATTAAGCCTTAGAAGTGTCCACATTTGTAAAGTAAATTTATGATACTCTAATTAACTCATTGGGTTACTTTAAGGATTCCATGGGATGTGAAAGCACTTTGTAAACTTACAAATAAATTGACATGAATAGGGTATTAGTGTTTACGTAGTACTCTACTAGCAAAGTTCACTTTCTTTTGACAAAGGGAAGGTTCAAGAGCTTTCCCAATAAATAAATATTTTATTTACATCCCTATTTCTGAGTATATAATTAACAGCTGAATGATGTTCATGGACCCAGATGTGTTATTGTGAATTAGGATTAAAAAGGAGCCCTCCTACACTGTTGGTGGGAATGGAAGTTGGTGCAGCCACTCTGAAAAACAGCATGGAGGTTCCTCAAAAAGTTGAAAATAGAGCTACCCTATGACCCAGCAATTGCACTACTGGGTATTTACCCTAAAGATACAAATGTAGTGATCCGAAGGGGCATGTAAACCTGAATGCTTATAGCAGCAATGTCCACAATACCCAAACTATGGAAAGGACCTAGATGTCCATCAACAGATGAATGGGTAAAGAAAATGTATATATATAATGCAGGCATCAAAATAAATGAAATCTTGCCATTTGCGATGATGTGGATGGAACTAGAAGGTATTATGCTTAGGGAAATAAGTCAATTGAAGAAAGACATCTATCATGTGATCTCCCTGATATGAGGAAGTGGAGATGCAACGTGGAGGGTTTGGGGGGGTAGGAAAAGAATAAATGAAACAAGATGGGATCAGGAGGGAGAAAAACCATAAGAGACTTTTAATCTCACAAAACAAACTGAGGGTTGCTGGCGGGAGGGGGGGTAGGGAGAGGGTGGTGGGGTTCTGGACATTGGGGAAGGTACATGCTATGGTGAGTGCTGTGAAGTATGTAAACCTGGCAATTCACAGACCTGTACACCTGGGGCTAATAATACATTGTTAATTAAAAACAAAAAACAAACAAACAAACAAACAAAAAACCTCTCTAGCTACTCAAGCTTCTTGAAAGTTAGTTGATCATGTAACAGTGAACAGTTGGCTAGTCAATTGATTAATATTTAACTAATGAGTTTGGGGAACATATATAAAATGGGATATTACTCAGCCATCAGAAAGGATGAATACCTATCATTTATATTGACATGGATGTAACTGGAGGATATTATGCCAAGTGAAATAAGACAAGCAGAGAAAGACAATTATCCTATGGTTTTCTCATATGTGGGACATAAGGAACAGCATGGAGGACCATAGGGGAAGAGAGAGAAAAATGAAGGGGAAAAAATAAAAGAGGGAGAAAAACTGAGTTTTTTTTCCAACTGAGGATTTCAGAGATGGGAATGGGGGGATGGGATGGCTGGGTGATGGGTATTAAGGACGGCATGCATTGTGATGAGCACTGAACACAACCGATGAATCACTGAAAACTACATCCGAAATTTATGATATACTATATGTTGGCTAACTGAACATACAAAAAGACCTTAAAAATTTAGGTAATGATTTCGTGTTGTTTTATCAACTTAGGTATCTTTTTTTTTTCAACTTAGGTATCTTTAGTTTTATATCTTCCAGCTTAATATCTAGACACTAATTGATTTGTTCATCAAACATTTATGGAGTTCTTATCTGGTTCTAACTATAAGTTAGATATCCGAAGAAGAGAAATACTTGGTCCTTGTTTCCAAATAGCTTCAAGTCTAGTTAGGAAACAGACAAGTAAAAACTAAAAACATGATTCCCAAAAAGGTGCATTAGGTACATAAATGGAGGCATAGATGCAGGTGTTGTGGGGGAAGAGAGGATTTGTCCCAGATATTGGAGGTTATGATGGACCTGAGTCTGGAAGGAGCTATGAAAGTTTACCACGCAGAGAGGAGGAAGGGAGGAAAATTTGAGGCAGGGGAAATGAAGAGGT